ACCATATGTTAAACTGTCGTTGCTGTCCGCCATGATTGATGTTTTACATTAAAAGCGTAACTTTCAGTTTTATAACATTTTATGTTTTTCCTTAAGTCTCATTATTGTACCACGAAAAAACTTTTTAATTGTTTACATGGGCTTTTAAAACGTACTTATTGTTTATATTTTCGTGATTCGTGCAAAAATAGTGTATGAAACATAAAACAAACATAGGGGAATATTGTAAAACATAATCATGTTAAAAAAAGGAGTTCTTTTCAAAGTATTTCATTAAGTTATTCGTTGAACACTTGATGTTTCAACTTCTGTTTGTTTAATGACGATAACGATATTTTTAGACTTTTAATTTGTTTAACATATAATTTACGTCTATAAGAATTCAGGCATAAAAGAATAAATAAAACAATTGTCACGAAATAGTATACTTGAACTAGAGATATATATCAAGAAACAAGAGCCCGGTTTGAGCCGGGTGATGCTCCCCGAATAGGTTTTGGACACAGGAAAGTACACCTCTTGTAGTTTCAGAGTTATGTCCGTGGAAAAAGTTCAAAGTGCAATAATTCCAAAATTAGGCAAGGCAGAGTTACAGTTCTTTGCACTGCACTTCTAATCAATGTGATCTATCAACCTACAAAGTTTCTTGATGATATCTCTTATGATTTCCGAGTTATGTCCTGGACAATTCAAAAGTAAAAATAAACAAAGGGCAATAACTCCAGAATTAGGCAAGGTAGAGTTATGATTCTTGTGCACTGCACATCTACCCATTAAGATTTATCTACCTACAAAGTTTCATGTTGATATCTCTTATAGTTTTACAGCTATGTCCTGGACAAGATTTTTCTAAAAGGGGAGATTATTCAAAAATAAGGCTTAACAGAGTTATGGTTCTTTTGCACTGCACCTCTACTCAATGAGATTTATCTACCTACAATGTTTCATGTTGATATCTCTTATAGTTTTAGAGTTATGCCCCGGACAAGATTTTTCTATAAGGGGAGATCATTCAAAAACCAGGCAAAATAGAGTTATGGTTCTTTAACACTGCACTCCCCCTCCAAGCCCTCTACCACTGTATGAAGTTTAAACAAATTATCTCCAAAGGTTTTCAAGTTATGTTCCGGACAAAGTTCAAGTTCAAAGTATTAAAATAAACAAAGGGCAATAACTCCAAAAGTAGGACAAAAAGAGTTATTGTTCTTATGCACTGCACATCTACGCATTGAGATCTTTTCACCTACAAAGTTTCATGTTGATATCTCTTATAGTTTTAGAGTTATGCCCCGGACAAGATTTTTCTATAAGGGGAAATAATTCAAAAACCGGGCAAAATAGAGTTATGGTTCTTTGACACTGCACTCCCCCTCGATGCCCTCTACCACTGTATGAAGTTTCAACAAATTATCTCCAAGGGTTTTCAAGTTATGTTCCGGACAAAGTTCAAAGTATTAAAATTAACAAAGGGCAATAACTCCAAAATTAGGATGAAAAGAGTTATTGTTCTTATGCACTGCACATCTACCCATTGAGATCTATTCACCTACAAAGTTTCATGTTGATATCTCTTATAGTTTTAGAGTTATGCCCCGGACAAGATTTTTCTATAAGGGGAGATAATTCAAAAACCGGGCAAAATAGAGTTATGGTTCTTTGACACTGCACTCCCCCTCGATGCCCTCTACCACTGTATGAAGTTTCAACAAATTATCTCCAAGGGTTTTCAAGTTATGTTCCGGACAAAGTTCAAAGTATTAAAATTAACAAAGGGCAATAATTCCAAAATTAGGATGAAAAGAGTTATTGTTCTTATGCACTGCACATCTACCCATTGAGATCTATTCACCTACAAAGTTTCATGTTGATATCTCTTATAGTTTTAGAGTTATGCCCCGGACAAGATTTTTCTATAAGGGGAGATAATTCAAAAACCGGGCAAAATAGAGTTATGGTTCTTTGACACTGCACTCCCCCTCGATGCCCTCTACCACTGTATGAAGTTTCAACAAATTATCTCCAAGGGTTTTCAAGTTATGCTCCGGACAAGACAACGGACGGACAGACGGACGGACGGACGGACGGACAGACGGACAAGGCGCCGACTATATGCTCCCCCGAAATTTTTCGGGGAGCATAAAAAGAAGTTCCGGAAACATTTTCTGATTAATGACCATAATCCATTGCCCGAACTGGCGTTCTTTTTTAGACATATTGTTTAAACGCAGCAAAGAGATCGGAAATTCTGGGATTTAGGTCTTGAAAATGTCTCCGTTTTATCTGTTTTCATATCATTTTATATAAAATTTAATTTTACAAAATTAATACTTTGATTTAAAAAAAAATCCAAGCAAACAATGGCTAAATCACTATAAATGTTATGTATTACATTTATAAAAAAAAAGTAAACGCTAAATGTACATGTCAATAATTTATACCTGAACTAATCACCATCTGTAAAGTGTGTTAAAGCCATCTTATTATATAATAAATACAAATTAACAAAACATAAACTCACAAAAAAAACACAACAAAAACACAACAACAAACCATAAATAATTATAAGGTTTCCTTTTATAGATACGCAAAACATAATTTGATACAAAAATAGAATGTCAAGTAATGGTCATTTTTATGCGGTGACCTGACTAAACTGCTGACTGGACGCGCTGAGAAAAACAAACTTTTTATCAATTTTCAGAAGTTCATTTTAAGATTGATAAATATGTCATTGTTTCATTTTGATAAAGTTTTAATTGGAAAAGAATCGTGACTCACATTTTATACCGGTCCTTTTTCATTACAAGGCAAAACGCACTTGTTTGACTCCGACGTTTTTGTTTTTAATATTATTTGTGGTTTAACTTACTAGGTTTTATTTGGTAGATTTTATACAAAACAAATGTCGTTTTGACCGGTTAAAAGTTGATATTAGTTTGGTGCAAAGTGGGTGTCTGATAACAGTGATATTTCACGGGTAATGCATTCACAAATATAAATTACATCTTATCGGATTATCTGAAAATTGCGTTTAAATGAATAAATAAGGATTGGGTGCTTTTAAACATTTCGTTCTCAAGGGATAAACCAATCAAAAGTTAGCATTTTGAGACCTTAATTACTTGTTATTTTTTTATTTTATTTTTACTTCCTGGTGATGTTCCCTAACCGGAAGCAGATTTAGATCATATTTGGAAAAGGATGAGTTGGATTGCCTGTGCGTTAAGTTTAAGCTATTCCATTTAATAATTTTTGAAACATAACATTGAACACGAGTGACACGAAAGGTAAAGTTACGTAACATTAAGTACAACAGTACAATAAACGACGCACTTGGTTAACCATTGAACCTAAATTGAAATTAATATGAATCGAGCAATTCAAAATATTTATCAGACTTTCTTTATAATCTTTTTTTTAAAGATTTAATTTATTGAACAATTACATGAATCACAGTGTCTGAAATTTATATCAAGGGCGGCGGCTGCGTTGCGGCTTATCGTGGATAAAACAAAATAGGGCAAATTGTGCGTGGGTTTTGTGATCTCTTTGTCGTTTGGAGGCTTATTAAATTTGTAAAAAGCGATCTTTGCGGTTTTTTTCGGGCTTTATATCGTAAAGATGCTATTTAGATTTTTATTTCAAACTGAAAATAACGAAAATTTTCGGCCGAAATGAAGTTGTATAATTATCAAGAATATCAAACTCGAGAGCATATTTGGAACATACAAATAAACTCATTACCCACTTCATTTGATGTTACGTAAACTACTTTTTTGAGAAAGTGTCCGTCTTAAGAACGTACATAATTTGCATTATTTTATTACTTAGTGATTTATCGCTATGCTTTAAATAAGTAAGAGGCCTGCAATTCATCTCCTGTCTTTTTCTCTCATTTTATTTCGTTTTTTCCTACTCAGATTTTTTTCTGTTAAAAATGCACGTGTATTTAAAATACCTTAAATATATATCTCTCAGGCTCATATCTTTGAGTGAAATATTTTTATTGCAGAAACTTGTTGAAATCAAAAAATCCTGCTGAATATGTCTTATTTAAATAAAACAACGTAAAACTATGGAATCTGCGTTACTTATTACGGAACAAGTAAAGCCTTTCCTTTCTTTAAAAAAAGCCAGGTTTTCTTAATGACACTATATATTCATATTGTGTCCACTTACAGTGTGTAGGATTTAAAGCATTACATGCTTACTTTGTATTAGGTCAAAATATATTTATGTTAAATTTTACAAAAAAGACTGTGTAGCAATTGTCAATATTTTCAAATACCAAATTTGGGTAGAGTACATCTTTAATCATTATAATACTTGTCTTTCGGTCTCATCATCTCTCGTTATTTAAAACATGGTCTTATTTTAATATATATACATATGTATCATATTGGACGTCCGGGAATAAATGAGTTTAACTAACTAAATCATTTCAACATAAGAATAAAATGGCAAAAAAGGAACCTTAAAAAAACCCCAAAACAACAAAATTAAAAATATCGCAGGCTCGGTTTGAGCCTGTTCATGGACGGTAGTGGCAAATGCAAGCTACATGTACCGTACTCTCCCCCTAGCACCGACTTAAGCAGAATTCAACATTTGGCATGAATATTGTAAACAAAATTATTTACCTACATATTTTATATTACATTTCAATTAATTTTTGAGACAAACATATTTCGTGAAGAAGAAAAATGATGCTGATTTATACATGGGCGATTTAAGAGTCAGTCATACATTGGCGATTTAAGAGTCCTACAAATCTATAATATTCTTGTTAAATAACACGAACATGTTAAATACGTAGCTATTGTAGCAAGTAGTTGTTATACATTTATATCAGTTCAAATGTATCAACTAATAGCATAGATAATGATCGTGCAAAAATGGGAACTAAATAAATCAATTTAATTTACGTCACGAAACCACGTAATTCTAAAAATAGATTTGTTGACGGTAACGTATAAATAGCCTACATGAATGAAATCATGCGCATTATTCGATAAACTTTACTTATAATTGAAACACACAAAGCGTAAACTGTTATATCATGTTTAAGATTTGTTAACTTTGGAACGTTTTCGATACATTTCAATTTATCCGAGCTGTGACAAAATAATTTGGAGAGTTTGATAAATATGTTACTGGAAAAAGGCAAAGGTAAATTTATTACGATTAAACAGGAGAAAAGTCATGCATTCGGGCTAGCATTTTATAACTTGCGATAATACTTTAATGACAATGGATATAGGAAGTTGATATTTTAATGGACTTAAACATTCTAATAAACAACAGGCTAATAACATAATGTACACTATTATGGCAAAATGTTCATTCAATGATTACAATCTTACCATTTTTATGGTGGGTTTACCCCGTTTGGGGGAAGAAATAAAATGAAATAAGAAAATTATAAAAAGAAAACAAACAAAACAAACACTATTATGACAATCTGTTAGTTTAATGACTGAAAAAACAACAACAAAAAACAACAATTTTCATGTTCATGATTTCTGCTTAAACCGGTGATTGAGGGTCATGACCAGGCTCAGTCATATTAAGCTTCCAACATTGTCAATTTCGCCGTTTTGGTAGTATTTGACGGTTTTCGTTTTCTTTGTTATACAAATCATTAAATATTTGTTCTATATTTCTATTTTAGACATCGCAATGAGAAAACAAAAGCGTCCACTTGGCATCCTGGGTACTGGCGACTTTGCACGTGCCTTGGCAAAACGACTCTACTTTTCGGGATATGAAATCGTCCTTGGAAGCAGACGACCGGAAGAAAAATCATTTTCTGCGATAGACGAGTGTTTATGCAACATGCGCCTTGTAACAACGGAGGAATGTATAAAATCTGTGTCAATAATCTTCCTTGCTATACATGCTGAAAATTACAAAGACTTGCTAGAAGAACATGCCGACAAGCTGGACGGTAAAATTATAGTAGATGTTTCAAACCGCGACAGACCCAGCGAAACTAAATCCAATGCTGAATATCTTCAAAGACTCATACCAAACGCTTCGGTTGTGAAAGCTTTCAACGTCATTTCCGCTTACGCAATGGAAAACGATTACAATACAAGCAGCCGACAGGTCTTTATTGCCAGTAACAATGAACTCTCCAGAAATGCTATCTCAAACATAGCAAGAAATATGAATTTTACCCCTTTAGACTTTGGCGGGCTCTTTGCAGCACGCAGGATAGAAAAACATCCTTTAAGGCTGTTTCCAGACTGGCGAGGTCCATGTGGATTTACTGTTGCAGTATTTAATATTTGGTTGCTATATTTAATATACATTTATTACATTGAAAAGACAGTGTACCGGTGGGAACAAATATTTATCAAAGTAATGAACAAGGCCATCTGTATGACGGGGATCACTATTCTATCAGTGACGTACTTAGCAAGCAGTTTTGCAGCATCATTACAGCTGTATTACGGTACGAAGCACATCCGGTTCTCAAGGTGGTTAGACAAATGGCTAAAAAACCGGAAACAGCTTGGACTGGTTGCTTTTATATTGATAACAATCCACGTGATGATGTCGATTTTAATCATGTCTCCAACTTATCTTAGATCATGGTTTCATTCTACAAAACTTGTCATCCCGCATAATGTGACTGACGTACACGTAATTAATAATATAAACTGGATGACATGGAAAGGAGAAGCTGCGTGTTTAACAGGAATATTTGCCTTTATTCTACTATGCTTCGTGTGTGTTTCAACTTTACCGTCAGTTACTGACACATTAAACTGGAGAGAGTGGCGTTTTGTGCAGTCAAAAATCGGCCACGTGGCCTTGTTCTTATCAATTGTCCACGTATTAGTAATGGGCATACCAGGTTGGGCCAAAAATCCACTAAAGATTTATAAATCCATAACATTCTTGTCATCTATACTACCCTGGGCAACAATTATGTTAAAAATCTTGTATTCCCTACCATGTATCGATAGATATCTAACAAAAATTAGAAAAGGATGGGAGCGTCAAGAGGAGAGATGCCGCGGGAAATGTGTCAGACCAAAGAAAGAAGGTTATGTCATCATGAACGCAGACGATAGATCGGATGCCATAAGTGGTGTGTGTCCGTGTCCGGGAGATACTGTACAAATGGTAACATTAGACACGACAAGTTGTGGATGCTCAAACGGAGATATTGTGTAGAACTGAATAACTTTGATTATTAAAGTACTTCAAGTTGTAGCTGAACCTTTAATTTGTTCTAAGTTAAACCTTAGTCTAATGATTTAGCAGAGTATTAAAGTGATTTTTGTTTTCGATGCAGAGTGCAAACAGACAATGGGAAACTTGAACGGTTCTTAGCTAGTTTCTCTTCCACCCAAGCTGTCTATACAACATTAATATCATTTTTAAATGCCACTGTATGTATTGTGTTTACTTGTTTTATTTTATCAAATTTTGATGTACATGTATAATTTGAAATGCAGTTATGAGCTACAATGTATTTAAATTTACGTAAATCAGTTTGTTTTGTATGGAAAGAATAATGCTATTTTGCCATGTTTGAAGAGACAGACAAGGCCGGTGGGGGCAGTTTGTTATGATTGTTAGGGCGCTGATTTCAAATCACTTGCCCCTTGCCACTACGGGTTCACAATTAGTCAGACACTCCCGGTATGAGGAGGTTTTCCAGCTACCTTATAAAAGGTCGATGGTTATACTCAGGTGTCCGTTACTGCCTGACAGTGCACGAAGGGGAACTTGAGGTCTTCCTTGAAAAATCGCCCTCAGACCTTTACATTGAGGGTTCGAGTTTTAACTCAATGAAACTAACAAAATCATGTTCAAGATTTCGTAAACATTGTAGAGATCTGTACTTTATGTAGAAACAAATGATGTGAATTAATCATAAAATTTACATTAAGCCTAAATGAAGTTATTAATCAATAACATTAGGTGAATAATCAGTAGAAGATTTACATGGATTCATAACAGTTTAGTTAAATACTAAACCGTACATTAATTATTGTTGAATGCAATGAAATGATATCAGTACAAACTGCTGTGTTTGTTTTAATAGTGAAATTAATGATTTTGATGATGTATTAACATTTGCTTGAATGGAACATGGAACGGTGTTAAATGCTTGAATGGAACGGTGTTGGAACGGTGTTAAATGCTTAAATGGAACAGTGTTAAATAGCTGAACGGAACATTGTTAAATAATTGATTTGAACGGTGTTAATATTGTAACAGGACATTGAAATTGTTTGTTTGTTATATGTTATGGACAGTTCCCATTTCTATCATACTTATCTCCCTTGATCAACATGGCAGCCATTTTGGCGCAGTTGTATTGTATATATGATTGACAAAATGTTGAGAAGTGCATAGTAAGATGATGATAAAAGGTGACTTGTTGTTTGTTATTTACATGTCTGAAAAAAATTATATCATATTTTGTCAACTTACATGAAGATTAAACATATGTGATGTTTTATTTTTTATTTTTGTTATTTATCTTTAAATCTTATTTTCATCAAAATGGCAGTCATTAGAGCATTTTTTGTGTGTGAAAAACTTCTAGATTTACTTTCTAGTCGTATATGTTATAAACACAAACATAATCAATGTGAAACCAAAACAGGATAGTTTAGATTATTAATTAACTTTAACTTTTTTATTGTTTGACATTAAAATGAATGAAAGGCTATTTTTAAACAAATTTTTCGAATCTTACCCTTAACTTAAAAGTGGCTCTTTCACATTTAAATTGCTGATCTGTTAAAATGACAGTCCTCGACACTTCTGTTGTAAAACAGAGCTGAAACAGGTCAACACAGTTTCTAAAATAATTGTGTTTCAAATATATGCTTGTTTATCAATTATCAAAGAATGTTATGCCACTTAAAACATTTTTCACATCAATTTGGATGCAATGTTGATACCAAATACCCCAAAATGACGTTGTAGGAACTTTTACCAAATATATTCTTGTGTGTTTTCTATTAAGTTGAGACACTTGTTGAGTGATGTCTTTACTGTTAAGTAAATGTCTGATAACTCTATCATGCATGGAACATGATCCCAACCTCCCCTTCGGCTCAACTTAAAATACATTTCACAGAGGTTGTTGGCTGAAAATGAAATATTAAAAAATGAGGTGATCGAGCTATCGACACGGTGCTGGCGCCATTTGCAATGTGAAAGAGCTCTCGCAAATATAATGGATCCTCCACAACCTTTCAACAAGTGTCGATATTGTAGAATTATTCCGATTATATTTATGGATAGGCTTAAAAAGAATATCAAAATTTATTTTTGGTTCAAGTTTAAACACATCACCAACATGTGAAAGAGCTACTGTTTAATAGGGGTGTATCTTGATAAAATTATACTAGTACAATTATACTACTTAGTTTATATTTTGAAAACATTTATAACACATTACTGAACAGTTTGCGCTGTTTACTTTAGTTGTTAAACATCAAACATACTCTAAAATATTAATAAAGATTTTTAACACATGTTTCACATTTCTAAGAATTAAAAAAATATGGATTTCTGAGGCAAAATGTGCCTTTAAAAAAAGCTCAAAACAAATCAATATTATAGTACGTATCACAAAACACACATAACTTCTGTTAAAACGTATCAAATATGTAAATAATTATATGATAATGTAAATCAGCTATTAAATACATAATGTCGGTTAGTCGGGAAATTTAAATGCTATCATTGCAATAAAAGCGTTCATTTATTTATAGATATCCTACAGTGTTAGAAGGAATACTAGTATAGCAACTTTGTGAAATGAAAATCTATTGCCTTTTGAGTAATTTTATTTTAATTCTATTTTTAGTTAGAACATATCCACACAGATATATTGAATATATCAATACAATTAATAGCTGTAAAGACCAAGATGAATTACTGGGTTAATTGTCTGAGAAGGGATAAATACCTGGTTCGCGTGGTTCAATTGCGTGTTGTACTTTTCCATGCTTGTAAACAGTCGTTATGTTTCAGTCCTGTAACAAAGTGGGATTTTAATTTGAACAATATTCATGCATGCCGAAAGGCAAATTGATAAAGTGTTGAAATACGATTATTATGTAAATAATGTACCACATAATATGAATAATTTTGTTTAAAAGTAATAAAAAACTAATGCGATAAAATGATAACATACATAAGGATAATCGACTGCTGTATCGCTTCGCCTGGTTTTAAGCAACAAGAAATATATCTAACAATACAACACTTCAGGTATTGAAGTATATCTTCCGTAGCAATACAATCCTACATGTACGTATTGAAATATATTCTAGCGATGAGCAAAACACCTCATGTATTGAAATATATCTGCTCGAGCATTACAATGCCTCAATTATTGAAATATATCTGCGCGAGCAATACAACGCCTCATGTATTTAAATATATCTGCGCGAACAATGTCTCATCTTATGTATTGAAATACATCTGCGCGAGCAAGTTTAACCTAATGTATTGAAATATATCCTAGCGATGAGCAAAACACCTCATGTATTTAAATATATCTGCGCGAGCAATGCCTCACCTCATGTATTGAAAAAATTATGTCTGCGCCATCAATGCCTCATCTCAGGTCATTTGACCTGGTTACCTCAAAATCAATGGATGTTATATACTGGTCATGGCCAGTTACTACGTCATAGAGTCTTTAAACTTCACAAACCGAGCAATATGATATATACAAGAAGTGTATGTCTGATTGGTTGTCAAGTTATTGGTCAGAAATCATTTTGACATACAAGGACACTGTAACATTGGCCTATATTTCAGCAGCCTTTAAACCAATGGAATCATCTACCGGCCAAGACTAATATACCTGTGAACTTTGAGAGCATATATTGCATGGGTTGGCGAGTTATTGGTTGGAAACAGTTTTGACATACAAGATCAATGTGACCCAAATGTGGCTCTGATGATTTTGTTTCTGGTGCCAAAAAATAGAGTAAAAAAATCCCTAAAGAAAGCCTAACACGACAATATTGAAAATGTTGCAGGCTCGGTTTGATTTAGCCTGTTCATGGACGGTAATGGAAAGTGCAAGTTATCGTCCACGCCCCCTAGCACCAAAATGATACGAAAAAATGTTAAATGATTTTTCAAATATAGCAAGATACAAATCGAAATGTTTATGTAATAAGACACACAAGCCATTCAGTCATTATGGCATGGAAATATTTAAGAAGGACCTTGCAATTTGTTTGTGAAGTGTTATCTAATTTAATATTTTACTTCAATTCGGTAAATAAATAAAACTTTTAAAGTATGTTGTGCATTATGTTTTGAATCTCATTCAAGAGTAACGATCATTAATGAAAAAATAATTTCTAAATTATGCCATCATTATGACAAAATAACATTATCTGCTAACCATCAGAAATAAAACAAAATCGCCTAATAGGTAAGTTAAAAAGGCGATAATCACAGAAAGACAAATGTAACACGTGTAACAGTTACCTACCTTGATCAAAAGAATGGGCATAACCTCCCCAATACAAAACAAAACTTCCAGATTAGTTTACAAGTCGATCTTGGCTCTTTTTTTATCTTCCACTCTATTCTTAACTCTGTCATGAAATGCGAATCTGATAATGATATAAATCAGCATAAAATCGATAGAAGACGCTATTCTTTTTATTTTTCTGAATGAAAACAGGCGTACATCTACAGACCATCGTCGAGTGCATGTTAAAGACGTTACCATTGAATATTTTCAGAAATAGAAAAACCTCAAGACAAACACATTTAGGATGGAACAAAAAGAGAACATATTTTTAAAAAATCATTATCGAAATGCGTTATTGGAGAAAAAGCAGTTATGCTTCAAAATTGAAAAAGTATGAATATTTGTATCGTGTTTGTTGTTGTTCTTGTTTCCTGTAATCAACGTTTAGTTTTGTACTCATTTTGAGTATCATCTGACTAAATGTTGTTACAAAAAGACAAATTGACACGACCAATAGTTTACTGATTCCTTTCTTATTAATGCTCTTTTTAAAATGTAATACGTGTAATATTGGTAAAAACACATGACATACTTTAATACAAGAACAAGCTTTAAGCTTATTAGATAAAAGGAAAGTATGTACTCGACATAGCAAATCGAGCTGAATGTACGTTGCCTTTGTTTCTTCAGAACGCTTTATTGTTTAAATTGTCAATATATTTGGACAGGTGGGCGGACAGAGAAATCACTCGCCTACAAAGTGAAAGGAGAGAATAATAGGTTCTCAGAAAATCAGTGTTGTAACAAATCAATGTAGATACATTGTATTATTTATTATAACTTTCGTTATAGTAATACCGTATGAATTTCCTTCGTGAAAATAACGAATTAATAGAAATAATAGATCTACAGATACAGTGTTTGCTGCATTGAGAGGGTTTTAAGTCACACCGACACATTATACAAGGTTTTACAGCGACGTTCCAGCTTTACACAGGTACCCTTCCGTGCATTATTTCAGGCACGAACGGGCATCAAATCATCATATCATAGAATTTAAAGTTCCTGTTGGGATTCTAACCAACAATAGTGAGTGACAAGTGGTTTAAAGGAAACAGATACTGTGATGAATATCAATTTCATTTGCGTGTTATTTGACAAATTTTAATCAGAGCTATCCTTCTTAATGAAAAAGTAAATGTAATATAAAAATGTTGCCATGGTACTATATCAAGTAAAGGTATCATCAAATACTTTAGCTTAACATTATAAAGTAATAAAGTTCTAATTGTCATTAACTTTTTAACAAATGCATAAGCTTGACAGATGAGACATTAATATTGCCATAAAGTGGTGAGAAAGTACATTATCAAATTAAAAACATCCAAAACATAATAAAGTCAGTTTAATACAACATTATTCTTGTAGCTTGCAGATTAAAACACATCCGACATTCAACTGGGGTCAAGAAACAAAAGCAAATAAAAAGATCTTCAAATGCCTAATTTTAACATTTTATTGCAGGTGTCAAGTGCTATGTGTGTAAAAAGTTGCCCCGTACTTCACTTTAGTGTTGTTATAGCTTCCTGATCCTTTAAAATCACTAAATCCAGCACTTTTAAGTGTTGAAAATTGAGTACCACTCAAGCTGGGGCTAGGGGCGTTAGGGATGTGTCACGTTTTCATTATCACTCATGTAAAACTCAATCAAACCGAGTTTGCAATCTTCATTTAATTTTATTGTGATTATTGCTTCCGAGGGATCACATTTTTTTCCAGATTTTTATCCATTTTTAAAGAACACAACAACATCTTAATTAAGGCTACAGATTAGAGCATAAATGCCACATTAAAGTAATGCCGAGGACGTGTTAAGGTACATTGTAAACAAATACCTAAAAAGATGATAAGCTTAGGCATTTTTTTCTCCTTAATCAAGGCAATGTACGTAATATGATAACAAATATTACAAATTTCAACGTCAACGGCAAAATGATAATTGA